TAAGCCTGTCACCTGTTCTAAACAAACTACTAGAAAAAATTGTATTCAATCAAATACCATGCTATTTTTCTGTTAACAGTCTGATGAGTGAGTATCAACATGCGTATAGAGAGGGTCACTCAACAGCCACAGCATTAACACAAATGACAGATCAATGGATGAAAGAGATTGATGTGAAGAAAATGGTGGGAGCAGTACTATTAGATTATAGCGCTGCCTTTGATTTGATAGACCATAGAATTTTACTTGACAAATTGGAGTGCTATGGTTTTGCCCCAAAGGCGATATCATGGCTAGAAAGCTATCTATATAACAGAACTCAAAGTGTATACTTTAATGGCAGTATCTCTAGTGCTAGATGTGACAAGTGGAATTCCACAAGGAAGTTCACTAGGTCCTTTACTCTTCTCAATCTTTATAAATGATTTTCCATTAGCACAAGTCTCTATGTACTCGGATGACACGACAATATATACACAGGCTCCCACAATCGGTGAGATAACTGATATTCTGAACAAAGAACTGAAAACAGTAATGGAATGGGTGACCAGCAACAAATTAGTGCTCAACATTAAAAAAACAAAAAGTATTGTATTTGGCACAAATTACGTACTAAGGTCTAAACCGCAGTTGAATCTGATGCTGAATAATGTAGAGGTTGAGCAGGTGGAGGAAACAAAGCTCCTGGGACTCATCCTAGTGAACAATTTATCATGGACGAAACACATAGTCAGTGGTGGCAAAGATGGGGAGGAATATATCTGTCATCAAGAGGTGCTCAGTGTTTTTACCACCACAACTGACAAAACAAGTCATTGAGACTCTAGTAGTCCTATCACAACTGGACTACTGCTCAATGATCTGGTCAGGGGCAAACAAGAGGGACCTGGGAAAGCTGCAACTGGTTCAAAACAGAGCAGCTCGGCTTGCCCTTAGGTGTACACCAAGACATAATGTAAACAAAATGCATGTCAAGCTCTCCTGGACATTAGTCACGGAGAGGCTGATGGTATCACTCCTTGTCTTTTTGAGAAACATAAATGAGCTGAAACATCTAACCTGTCTATATAAGCAACTTACACCTAGCTCTAAAATCCATACATATAACACGAGACATGCCACAAGAGGTTGCTATCAAATCCCTAAAGCCAAAACAGAGTCTATGAAGAGCACAGTGCTGTATAGAGCCATGGCTGCATGGAACACACTGCCAGATCAGATTTCTAAAGAAACAACTAAAGCAAGCTTCAAAAGACGATTGAAGAGGCATCTAGAAGCCCAACGATTGTAAATTACACAAGCGGCAGACAGGTTATGGTAAACATACAGCAGCACACCGATTCATATAGGTTTTTTAAACACATATATGGTACTTTCGCTAACATAGACACACACACAGCCTTTCACAGTTATGATGAGGATTGTATTTGTTTAGTTTGTTTTTACTCTAAAAGAAGCGAAGGGAGACATTTAAAATCACTATTATTATTATTCTTTTTTAAAAAAAAAATTATTTCCAAGGAAATGGGGAATCAGAAAATAAGCTGTATGATGGTTGATATGAAAGTCACTGTTTGAAGGAACATTGACGCCGTACACGATTTGTATCATTGTCTTGTAATGTACTGTCGAATGTCATGTTTTATGTTATTTGTGGACCCCAGGAAGATTAGCTGTTGTTATGCACCAGCTAATGGGGATCCTAATAAACTCAAATAAACTAAAAATAAAGCTCTTTCCAAGAAACGCCTGACAGGATGGCTCTGCGAGTGCATTTCACATGCCTATGGACAGGCGGGGAGAGCCTTCCCCACTGGGGTCCATGCACACTCTACACGTGGTATGGCTTTATCAACAGCCTTGTTCAACGGCGTGAGTGTGGAGGACATATGCACGGCGGCGTCTTGGTCTACGCCAGGCCCCTTCATAAGGTTTTATCTCTTGGACATGTCTGGCTCCTTTTCATCATCTGTGCTTGCTGGGGCAACACAGGACTGGTGAGGGGGGGGGGCTGTGGGTCAGTAGGTATCTGACCCCCCCTGGACATAATGCACTTACGTTCTCTCCATGCTCCTTAGGGACCCGGGAAACATGGTGCGCAGTAAGCCCCATGCAGGGGGGAGAGCCTTCCTCACTATTTTCCATGCACACTCTACACGAGGTAAGCGTGTGTGAGTGTGCTCTATCCAGCCAAGTAAGCTGCGGCCCCGACTTCTCCACGGTCTCAACCGGATGAGAGAAAGTTGGGGTGCGGTGGCTGTTAACCAAAGGCTGGTCAGGGGCAGTGGGATGGGTCGATGTTGTTGGACGACAGGGCGTTTATCCATCAGGGCTCCACCCACTGTACCCATAGAGTCCAGTAGAGGGCGGAGCCTGTGTGAGATGTAATGGGGGGTTACATATTGTGACCCTAGTTATATAAGCACATGCGGAGCCCTCTACCTATGGTCCCTGTCTTTCCTATGCGGCTCGCTGAAGAGGGTGTAAGATGACAGGATCAGGAGGCGTGTCTGCCTTATATACTGTGGGTCTGCGCCAGAGGTCGCGTTAACCGAATATTTTCCGTCTATGACGGATTTTTTTTAACAATGACGGACAAATCTGAAAGCAGTCCGTCATTTTGACAGATTAGAACAAACTCGGAACAGCGTCAAAGTTTCCCCGCAGCGAGGCTCCGGTGTTATGCCGTGTTATGCATGCCCTCCAAAAAGGAAATTATACCGTTTCCAAACCTAACTGTGCCGTACAAATCATTGAAATGTCTGTGAGTTTTGGCTTTACACTGTGCACGCTCCCGCGAGGTGCAGCAGCCATGCATAACACGGCACATGTGAACTGTCCCCCCCCCACGTTGACAGTTCACGAGCATGCTTCCCCCCCCCCACCTCGTCAGAGTTGTGTAAAGGCCGATGGGTAATTCTGGATTTTGACGGAAGTTTTACGATCCTGTCCGTCAAAACGACGGGCAGCGAAAAAGTCTAGCGCAACCTCTGGTCTGCGCGCGCATTCAGGTAGGCTCGCCCTGATTGGCCCATATGTTGCATGCTTCAGTACTGTGTACAGATTTAACATGGCTACTAGAAAACTTGTATACTCTTTGAAGAGGCTGATATCAATTAATCTCACCATTGTAAACAGTTTCATGTTGTCTAGTTTTATCAGCCTAGTGTTAAAACTTCACAGACCTTTTCTATCGAGAAACCTACTGTTTCAAATGAGCTCCTTGTAATGTTTTTTTTAACATCCTCTTGACTGTTCTATGATGCTTCTTCAGTAGCTATATGCACATTATTGCAATATAAGTTATAACATAAAGCCAATGTTAGCAATTTACCCTTGCCTGTCAAACGGCACCTAAAACGGCTAGTAATTGATGAAATTCATTTCATTTCTAGGCTGATCTGACATTCATACTGAAACGGCGACAAGAATAATCATTTGTAGCTTTTTAATACAAAAAGTAACCGTAGGGTCCAAATGAACCCCTTTGCAAATGCAACCCGAAGAGTGTGCGGGAGAGAAACTCCCTCTGGAGGGATATGTTTGCCTATGCAGACCATTTACATGCGCACAAACCTATAACACACTACAGGAAAGGGAAAATCCCCAAAATTGCATACTAGGGCCAATTGAAATATAAAAGGTAGCTTTAAACTAGATGTGTGTAAAGATAAGCTGGTTTTAAAAATACTTTTTGCTTTTGTCTAGCAGATGTTTGTCATACTTTGCTTCATCTTATTTAAAATCTACTTGATTATCCAAGTAAAAACATTCCTTATGATATTTATCAATGTAATATATCTGTCTTGGCCTTGGCAGAACTGCTCTGGGACTGAAATCAAATTCTTTCACTATTTCATTTTTACCCTTGAAAATCAATAATGACCTTGGGACAAGCAACATAGAAGTATTTCTTTTTCAGTGATTCAAGGCTCTGCTTGCAAAGGATGATTGTTAGTAGATGAACATATGGGTTCAAACTAATAGATAATTTTTGCTTCAGTCATGAACATAATGGTGCTAGCTGACTTGATGCTACTATCAGTCTATTTTTAGCACGACATATGCACAATGGCACTCTTTGATCAAGTGATTATTCATTGAGTTGTCTGTATGTGAAAGACAATCAGACAGATGGGATGATCAGAAATGATCCAGATATCCGCTGCTAATGACTCCTGCATAGGGAGTTCACTTTTTTCTAAGCAATTGATCACAGAAATCATATCCTTCCATTACATTAGTGCGCCATATGTGTTGCTTGTTCAAGCTGTTCTGTTCATTTAAGTATAATAGGCAAAAACAAGCACTGGTTTTAAGCTTAAGGGCTTACCAGACAGAGAATGGCAACATAATCAATTCACTTTAAAGATTCTGTGTCAAAGCACCGAAAACAAACTCCTCTGCGTCAGCTGCACTTTGTGTAAAGTAGCAAATGTTGGCATGCTAAAGCGCTAAATCAAAAGGGAAAACATGGCCAACAAAATACATGCTTATCGACATGTTGCCACTTTCCTTAGGTGCAATTTCTTGCAGTTACATTAGCATTTAGCTCATAGCATTACTGTGTACTGGGCTGCAGACTCTAGTCTTGTTAAGAGAAGATAAGATAGTACTTTATTGATCCCAATTTGGGAAATGTTTGTGTTACAGCAGCATACAGTAAAGACATGGCGTTGTACAATAACAATTAAAAGACAAGAAATAAACAAGAAAGTAGAAAATATACATGTTGAATTTACAAATTAACAATAACAAGATATAAAGCAAGGTATTATATATACATAAGTATGTGACAGATGGAATATTAAATATTAAACTGAATATATAAATGTAAAATGTACAGTGTGGTTTTATTCCAAGAGAAGCAAGGAGCAGAGACTTCTCTGCCAGCCAGAGGTGATTTGTTATAGAGAGTTATTGCAGTGTGCAGGAATGTTTTCCTGTATCTGTTAAAGTACAATACTCAACAAAGAGTGTCAAACTCATAAGTTTCTCACCTCATCGTGTAGAGAAGCGTGCCGTTGTCAACTAATCGCAGCAGTTTGTTTGGAGTCGTCATGTTGTGGGCCACCGATTTCTTTCCGTTATGGAAAAAGGTGTCAGGAGTCCAGATCTTACTGGCCAGGAGGTTGTTGAGGGGTAACACATGCATGGGCCCGTCGAACTTCAGCCTCTCGTCCCTCCAACTCTGGCGGAAGAAGACATCGATGGTGTACTCCTGAGAGAAAAAGGATGCAAAAGTTTAGTTGGCAAGATGTTATAATAAATCCCTCAACATTAATAGATGATTGTATGCTAAACCGGTTGACGTGTCATCGTTATGACCGATACTCCAAATATTTTTTAATGCCGTATGTAGAAATCAAAGATAACCGAAATATAACTAAAGGCTAACAAATCCTTTTAGTAGAAAATTCAAGTGCTTTTTCTTACATGACTGATTACAGATGTCAAAAGGTTTTTTGGTGGAATCATCATTTGTGTTAGCTGAGTTTGGAAATGCTTTCTGAGAGTTATCATTTTTAATGGCCCAGGTGTGCACCATGCTTCACCATCTGTCATCAACGCAGAGCTTCAACAGAAAAAAAGTTCAGCATATGCCAGCTACATCCAGGATACGTGGGCACGCACACACACACGCACGCACGCACGCACGCACGCACGCACGCACGCACGCACGCACGCACGCACGCACGCACGCACGCACGCACGCACGCACGCACACACACACACACACACGCACGCACGCACGCACGCACGCACACACACACACACACACACACACACACACACCCACACACACACACACACACACACACACACACACACACACACACACACATACACATACACATACACATACACACACGTACACAAGTACTGTATATGTCACACCAGTTATTGTAGAATACATTTTCTTAAGTTTATGTATTCCTGCATCATGTAATTACCACTCTGGTAACAATTAAGTGTTTGACACAAATGAGTGTCAGCAAGAAATCTTGTAATCAACTGTTTTATGTTATATTTACAAGCGACAAAGTGTTTTGGTGTTTTACCAATGCATAAAACGACATCAATAAAAGGATTTCAAGATATTTAGTCAAAAGGGAATATATTTCTCATCATACATTCAATAGGACTTGGTTTCCTAGCAACAGACTTCCCTCATCCGCTCCATACAGTGGCAGTGCAGACTGAACGCAGCTGTCTTTACGGAGAGAGATAGAAAGCTGTGCGCATCTCACGCTAGAGTACACATTACTGGTGATCAATAAAAGCATGCCTGACACTACAGTATGTGTTTATCAGTCGCTTTGTGCTTTTGCTCAAGTATTACAGTAAAATGGTTTGCAAAGCAACACAGCTCACCAGTGACTTGTGAGTGCTTTTTTACATGAGAGAAAAAACAATAAAGTCATTTCTTAGTGATTTGAACAACAGGAAGCCATCAACCTCAGCAGGAAAGGTGACCAGCTCCCACTCAACACATCAACAGAGCTTCTGTAAACAGCCAGGGTTGCGTCTGTTAATTGATTGAATTGACCTCCTGGTGGCCTGCGTAAAGTCCCTAAAACATTTACACTGCATGTGTCCTCAAGTGTTCTTAATAAAGCCCACAGATCACTGATAGATAAAAGCAAGAGTTAGACAGTTTACCTTAACCCCTTCTTCAGTTCTTTTCTACCTATCAAGTTATTTAGTCTCTCTTCAGCAATGTCTAAAGTGTCTACAATATCTACACAAATAGTGAAATAGCGTTGAATATTTAACTGAAGGAAAAAGTAAAACGTTTTTTTTTATTATGCTGTTTGATATATGTACCAATACATTAAACAACACAGATAACAAAATATATTTCCATTTCAAGATATACAGACTAAAAGACAAAAGCATCACGCCTTACTTTAAGTAGCCAATATGAGTATAAAGCTCAGTTAAATTTAATTTAAACCAAAAAGACCTACAATAAATAATCAAATGAAAAGTAATCTATGCACAGCGTGCCAAGCATTTACTTTTGATGGACATGGACAACAAATTAATATATCATGTATTAATGTTCCAGCTAACGATAGGTAAGGTGAGCAAACTGTACATTATTATACTGTGAACGTCTGTAATAATAAGCTAGCTAAATCTTTGTTAATTAAAATATTTCTGATTTACATTTTCAGATTATTTATTTTTTTCCAAGTTGAGAGGTAGTTGGTTAATGTAGTGCAGAAGTCATGTAATGGGAGCAACTCAAATATTTCAATGTTTTTACTGGTTGCGTTATCAAATCTTTGTGATGTGAGACATTTATCAAATGTTATTCATCAGCTGTAACCGTCTGGACAAGTGGACAGGAGTAGTGGTGGATGTGTGTAGGCAGGAGAGAGGGCAGAGAGATATGTTTCAGGATATGCACCAGCTGAACATATGAGGAAACTGGCATCCCAGTATGATGAACAGCTCTACACATGAGCCAGCTGGTGGCCATTGCCCTCACAGTCTCCATCTTCATTGTGAACTGTGAGAGAGACGTCTCCACTATGAATAGGGGGAAACCTTCAATGAGCAACATCTGAAATCATACATTGTTTGGTTTCTCTCAATTTCCCACACTCCAATCCTTCTTGTTATTGTTTCTACATATAGATGAAGACAGACCTGAGAAGCAGGCTGCAGGGGGCCATCTGGCATCGTGCATGCTACTGAGAATCAATGAGCCACCTCTGGGCGCGCTCCCAATGACAGAGCCTCAGAGCTGCTCTTTCAACAAAACAAGAAAAATGCTGCCACTGAGGCAATTATATACAGTGCCCTCTGTATGGAGTGGGTCATAAAAGGCATTATGTACGGATATAAAGATGTCATTAAATATATTTTATAGTTCTCTAATCAAGTCCTTTTTAATAAAAACATTTTAAAATGCTTTTGATATTCCCTCCTACTTCAAAACCATTTCCCCCTGCTACTGAAAAGTATTCGCTGTACTCTGTACTCCTAAATACTCCAGATAGAAACACTTAAGTAAAAATGAATAATCAAAAACAATTACATCAAGTACAATAACAACAGTGTGTTGTTTTCAAGGGTGGAAGTAAAGAACTACATTTGCTCTGGTGCTGCCTGAACTCATTATACCACGTTGACTTTGGTCATGAATTAAATGGTGAATGCGGACAACAAAGGACTCTCCAGGTCCCAGGAAAGACTAATGAACACATGGGCCCTAGGACCACACTATATGGTGATGTTCTTTGTCCTGTGTCTGCGACCAAAACTTTCCAGCAACACTACGAAAAAGTTTGTCTTTTCCTGGCACAGAATGAAACTGGACCATCTAAATCCCCATTACCACAGTATTACTCTTGTATGCACTTCATTATTCTCGCCTTTTCTTTATGAGATCCAACGACATTGCCAGAACTCATCCCAATCAGTGTAAATAATCCGGTGATGAATAAACACACAATAGTAGGCTTGTCCCAGTTGGGCAAAGCCATCATTTGTGTGTTTCCTTTGGACAGAAATCTCCTGTAAACACACAGAATTAATTTGATGATTGAAAGACAGGGATGAGGAAAAGGCATAGTCAATCTCCACACAAGGCCAAATGGCACAATCAGTTCAAGTGCCAGCTGGTGTTCCTCCAGGAGTGATTGATTTCTCCTTGACAGAGGAGACAGAGCCAAGCCTCTATCCAACACTAGTTTTTTTATATCTTATTGTATAGCAACGAGGATCATGAATGGGTTTATTGTAGTAAACAACTATTATTTAAATGGCTTTTGAAAACACATTTATGGCTCCTCCTGTTACAAATAGATTCATAAATACAGAATCACTCTTCGCAGATGCCTTTTTTATGTCTGTATATAGATTTTTGGCATCCTGCCTTTATTCTCCTGCATATTATAGAGGCTCAGGATATGAGGGCAGAGAGAAAGAAGGGAGCAGCATGTCACATCCCTCCCTGGATGGAATACAAGTAGGACTTTAAAGCTTGTACGATCAATATTCTTTGATTAACAATGCATCATATGCGTATGGAAACTGTGAAAAGGGTCACTGAGTGATGTACCCACAGAGAATGATCAGCTGACTCTGCAATTCCCCTCTGTTCTGCAGTGTTTCAGCAACTTCCTGCTCATCCTGTTGGTATCTGCCCGGCCCACAGCTTTACTGTTTTGGTTTGCGCTCACGTCTCACCGCTCTTATCAGCATCATGTCCAGAGCTGATGTGTTTTCAGCTACAAAGCTCTGATAAACCCACTTGTCACCTCCTGCCCAAAACAAAATGGTGTTTACAAAAAAAGAGAGCCAAATATGTCTCCCTTTTTAAAAGGAGGATGCACAGGTGAAAATCCAAAAACGTGCTCTGTCTGCACAATGTGTAATATTTAAAAAATATTTCCCTTACAAAAATATGCCAGTGGGCACATGCGCCTTATGCTTTTGGTTCAAAGTGCACAGTTAACACAATATACATAAAAATGAGTCGCCTTAGAAACAAATGCAAAATACCTAAAAGAAGATATTGATTCGATTAACTGTCTTGGTGGTTATTTGTATGATCCAAAATGATGTAGAAATAGATTGAATGCCATGATGACTAAATAGATTTGTAATGTATTCAAGTAAAGGTCAATCACACACAGACTCAAAATGTCTCCTTTGCTTATATGTAAGTGTGAGCGGTGGCGAGGAGCAGCTACTGAGAGAATGAAGAGAAATGAGGAAAATGATAGGGAAGGCTGATAAGGTGCAGTTAAGGTAGGAAGTTCAGCAGACTGGGCTAAATGAGTCCAGACGTTGTCTGGTTCTCTGATAATGGCAGGAAGGTACTGTCTAATATCTGATGGAATATTAATGCAGCCTTTATCTTCAATTAACAAGTTATGTTTTAATAATGTCATCATGTTTTAGTTTTAATTTGGTTTTTACTCAACTGATCTGGACATATTAGTCTTTTGCTAATTAAGAGTACAGCCAATGTGCAGGCCTAATTGTATTACATAGAATTATCTGGATAATGAAACTACATATCTGCCCTATTAAAAGCAAAAATATATATATTTTCCAACAAATTACAAAAACACTCCCTTGAAAAAAATCCCAAATAAGTCTCTGAGTTGAGGGTATTGAGTTTTCAAGTTATTTCTTCCCTGTGGTTTTATTGTCCGTTGTTTCTGTCTTAATCTACACATTTTGTTTATCTACATCGGT